CACAGCACCTAGGCCACGTAGTGGCCGACTGGGTACGGGCGCGGGGTGCATACATGCGCCACGACGTTTTATCTGGTAACCAAGAGTGATGGGCAGGATATTAAACGCAGTGCACCTTACTTAGCTTATGCATAATGGGGAGGCAGTTTATGGAGCGCAGATACGTTCCATATGTGAATGAGTATGGACGGTGCCCGCTGTTATGATAGTGCGGGAGCGCCTAGTGCATTGTGCACAGCAATGTATTCAGAGGTGGATTAAGTGTACAGGAGGAAGCGCAAGTTGTAAACTATGCATATATGTATATGTGTTATATTAATTGCAGGAAAAACTATGGGCTGATATAGAAGTGCAATTAGGGCAATTCATGCGCTATATAGACCAAATGGACCTGGAATCTCATGGTTCGAACTGTATGAATGCGTATTATAAGCACCCGCTGCATCCCAACGGTTTGCCCAGGACTGTAACAAATGTGGGGGACAGAATTATGTGCAGACTAATGGTAGGAGCATTATATTTTATGAATGAGAACAGGTGGCGCCTGTGGGGTGGGAATATGGTGGTTAGTGATGATGATGAGCTGAAGGAATATGTGAGATGTGCCATTGTCAATATGTATATGGAGATACTAAGGGCATCATCATGTGGTGGAGAATGGGGTTTATATTATGCATGGTACAAAATGAAAGAGATGGAAGAAGGGCTAGGGGGTGGTTTAATAACCAAAGGTAAATGTGGGCACGGAGTGTTTGAAAACATAAAAGCGTCAGAGTGGGATACGGGGAACAAAATTAAGCAGTGGCTACGGCAGAATGCACGGATGAATGGAAAAATAGCAAGATCAGGTCTAAAATCCAAGTGTAGTAGAGCAATTGCAGACATCGATAAAGTAAAGAAAGGCGGAACAAAAGATAGTTTGAATGTTCTGAAGGCAGGAGTAGAGAAAGACATAGGGGACACATTAAAGGCAGCAATGAAAAGCGTTATGAGGCAAATCAGCAAAGAAGTTAAGGCAACAATGAAGGGCTCGGGGGATAAAGGACCTGGTTCCACAATAGAACCCGAATGTGACTCTGAGGAAGATGACACAGGGGAATTGTCAGATTCAGAAGAAGATAAAGAACAGGACAAGTATTCAAGCATACCAGCGTCATCGTCTCTCCCAGGGGAATCCACGGGACTAGCGTCCAGCATTTCCAATCCAGTCGACGCGGTAGCCGCTGAAAAACCCGTCCACCCTGCAACACCAGCAGTTACCGAAACGCCGGCAATACCACAGGAACCTCCAGCTAAGGACCGATCGGAGAAAGCACGAATGCGGACAAATATGACCGAATACGGCCGAATACTTATGCGGCCCTCATATAAATCGTACGAATATGGATGCCACCACAACAACGCCATGGCCACAAACACGCACGGCCACCATATGCATGCGCCCACCACAACAACGCACACGGGAACAACCAACAGCGCGGTGCGCAACATCACCCCCTCGTTGAGTCGAGCACAGCAACACTTCGTTGACGTGGAGGCAGGAGACGGACGGGGGTAGGGCACGGGGGGAGGGTGCCACTCCGGGAAAAGACTCGCTCTCTCGGTCCCACACAACACACACAACACACAGTCTGTGTGTGTCTGTGTCTGTCGACGTCTCTACGTCGCGCTACCTGTGGTGGCCGCTGTCTCCCGCTCCTCATTCTCATTCGACGTTTGGTTTCTCTCTGTCGCTCTCTCTCTCCGGAAATTTGTGTTTGTTTGTGTTTTTTTTTTTGTGCTTCTAATGTTACTTCGGGTGCGTATGTGCACTATGGTGCACACGACTTGTTACCTGGTGCAGGATCAGAGGGAGTTAGAGGTATACTAGAGGGACCTCCCAACGCGGAATCTGGAGTGCACGCAAAGCTTAAGGTAACGCCGGATCCGTTTTTATTCGTACTGGTAGAACCCTCTTTGCATGTATTACCTGTGGATGGTGGAGGTGGTGGAGGTTGTTGTCCAGGTCCTGGTCCCTGACCCGGTCCTTGCCCGCCTGCTCCTGATCCTGCTGCGGCCGGTGCGGCTGATGCGGGTGCAGCCGGTGGTGCCGATGCTGGTACGGCGGCCTCAGCTGCTGAGTCATCTGCCCTTCCTACTGCTCCTGATGGTGACGATGCGCCCTCCTTGTTCTTTGCCGTCTCCGTTCCTGCAATGAGGGATGGAAGAAAGGAAGATGCACACACGATAAAAAAGCGACACAAGTGGTAGACAGAAAGAAGGGGCCGGGACGGTTCGGTCCAATAACCGCAGGGTAGGTCGATTGCATGGATCGATGCACTGGGTCGATGCAGTGGGTCGAGGTACGACTCGGTGGACTGCGCACTCGGTGAACTGGGTCAGGCGACAGCAAGCGTACGGTGAGGTGAACTCGGTCCACTGGGTCGGGATGGAGGGTAGCAGTACAACTTTTATTTGTTGTCGCCGTCATCTCGCTACCGCTGCCGCTGCCGTCGTGGACGTTCAACGCAGACATGTGCGTTGTTGTTGCCCGGTGTGCGTGTTTGTGGCCGTCGCGTTGTTCTCCCCGCCTGCGTGTTGTTGTTGGTGGCGGCGTCCATACTATTCGTACGGTACGTGCCGGACGATTATTCGTATCCGACTGTATACTCGTATTCATACATGTCATATTGGTATTCTTACTATTCGTATCCGTACTATGCGTATTCGTACCTGTGTGTTTATCAATTTCCTGCTGCACCTTGTCCTTCGCCCCCTCAAAGGCCTTCTTTGCTTCGTCCCTTATTTCCTTCTCTACTTCCTGCATCTTCTGAATTCCAGGTTGTGTCAAAATTTTACTGATATCTCTCTCTCCTTCTTTTGCGTTCTCCTGAATATACTTTTCCCAATACTGCTCACAGGGCCAATCGCGCTCCATTTTTTGTATTTCTTCCATTATTCTGGCATTATACAATAACCATTCTGCTATCTTCCAATTTATTGCTGTTATGTTCCTTGTATGACCTACATATCCACACATTGTGCACGTTCCGTCCATTACAGGGCCTTGCAGCGCTCCATGTCCACTTTGCCCTTGGCTTTGCATATTCTTGAATGTTTGCCAAGCATACTCTGTACCTCTTGTAAACGGAGTCTTACGTTCACAATACTTGGTTTTCAATAAGTGCCCCAAAACATGGGCCACTTCACATCTTAACTTATTAGTCTGTTCATCGGGCCCCTGCTGGTTCGCAAACCACAATGCACCTGACATTATTCTGCATCTCATCATATCGGCTACCCTCTGTCCCCTATAGTATTTACCCTTCTCCATATCGTCCCAAGATTTATTGTCAGAGTTGGCACCGTATTGCTCAAAGTCCTGATTATGATCCCCCAAATATTGAATAAAGTCCTCCAACACGGCTTTAATCTGGTTCCATTCTTTTTCCTACATTTTTCATAGGAGCACGTAGAAGTATGTATGTGCAGGTGTCATGACCATTGTACCCTGCGAAACCATCTACACACTTTCATATATTTATATACCTTATGAATAAATTGTCTTTCTATTTAACTATCTCGTTTCCCCATTTGATCGCTCCCTGCTTCATTCTAACTTACACTATAGCCAAGGTCTATGTACACTTCCCTAGGCCTCCACTCCCGCACTGTCTCCCCTTGACATTCTTGTCCTTTTCCGGTGTTCCCCGTTGTCTTCGTTGCTGCCGGTTTCGCCGCTACTGGTTTGGCTGGTGCTGGTTTGGCTGGTGCTGGTTTGGCAGGTGCTGGTTTGGCTGGTGCTGGTTTGGCTGGTGCTGGTTTGGC